CCCCCCCCCCCCCCCCCCCCTCTCAAAACAAAAAAAAAAGGTTCTCATACAAGGTTCTATGCTAAAAAGGTGATGAAAGTGGTGTCTTTCCAATCTTGAGGAGTTTCAAAAATTTCAACAAGGGAAAAAAATCTTACGATTCTAAGTTCTTTTGGTTCATTAATTCTGAAGAATAGCAAAAAAAATAGGGAGTCAATTTCTAATTTTGATTGAACATGACAATAGCGCGTCAACAAAGATTTGATCGACTGATTTGCTTTAAAATTTTGTTGCAGGCTAGCAGGTGCAGCTCTAATAGTTCCGGTTGTAAATTACTGGTGGCCTTCGTTTCCTTCCAATCTATCCAGGGAGGGTTATGGGAAACTACCATTGCCAGATCAATGGAGTATTCGGGTTGCACACTATGCGCCTTGGCTACTATACTGGTGGATGACACAGAATTGGTTCTCCTCATCATCGATAGTGAAGAGCCACCCAGAAATTTTTAGTACCCGAGACAAAGACATCCTGAAGAAGATGGCTGCAAATCTGAATCGTAATCAGGTACCCTCTTGTCATGGATTACATTAATAACCTTCCAGCTAGAGTCTAATGCAGCATAATAGACATGTCAAAAAGGACTTTTAGGCAACAAAGATCTTTCCATAATCAAAACAGTTGTTTGACGGCACAAATGCATCATGAAATTTGCCCCAATCCTTTAAACTCCAACCTGAACACTAAATTACTTCAACACAGTCTTGTCCCAGCAGGATTCATGATCGTGTTGGATCTGAAAAGTTTTACGATGACTGTTAAGTGTTAAGTACCTAACACAATCCTGCTTTTAACCGGGCTTGGGACCAACTATGTGAAAGATAAGTCTTCTAATAGGAAATTCTCATTCCCAGTAGAAGTGCTCTAGCAACTTCCTAGACATGGCAATTTTTCCATTCTACAACTCAGTATTGTGGAGGAGTATTGTTCGTCAATTTGATGGGTTTATTACTGTCCAAGTCTATATGTTACCATACAAAAAGTGTCCCAACCACTAGGCACTAAACTCGGCACAGGCAAGGTCAGTGATTGACATGGATAAATTTTCAAAATAAGTTGAACAAAATGTTAAGGAAAGTTAAGAGATGGACACAACATATGAACTGTTTATGTATATGCCAGGTATACGAATTAGTACTGTTTTTTCTCGAGTAGCCCAAGAGAATTGACACAGCCTTATAGATAATTGTGTTCATGATTACAGACTAAGGTACGACAGCAAGGTATTTTTGAATCTCTCCATCACGATTATATGGTAGGTTTTGGAAATTGGGAGTTTGATCCGATGAATCTGAGCAATCCATTTCCTCAAGAGAGCAAAATTGTTCACATCTGGCAAGGTTATGAGGATCGTCTCGTGCCATTTCAACTACAAAGGTTTGTTGCAGAGAAGCTGCCCTGGATTTGGTACCATGAAGTTGACAATGGTGGACATTTGATACATCATGATAGTGACTTATTCGAAACCATGTTAAGGAAGCTTTTGCTTTGATGCCTTCTTTAGTCTCCTGTAAATGTAGTACCTAGCTGCTTATTGAAATCATATACTGTCCAATTTTATTTTGTACACAACTCAAAATTGAAGTTCTGGAGGAAAAATGCATGTTTCCTTGGAATGGGTTTTCTACAGAAAGTATGGAACTGAAAGCAAAAGAAAAAATAAAACAATTGTGGGAAGCATTCAGAAAACTGAAATAAAACAGGAGGCAGCACAGTAGTTGGAACGGGTTGACCGTCGTGGTTTCAAAGCACAAAGAAAGGGTAAAAAGTAATAAAAGAGGTAAAATGGGTACCATTTAAGCTCGGAATTCAGTGGAATCAGTAATATTTGATCCAAATCAGGTCAACGATTAAAACTTATCGTTTCGTCATAAGCTCCTTCAGTTTTGAACTGAATTTCAATGTTTAGACTTTCAAAATCATGTTTTTGCTGTTTTAGGAAAGATTTATGAAATTAATGATAAATCATAAGAGATTGTAAATTCAATGTCTTCAATTTCGTTAGATTTCAAATGACATGTGATTTATGTTAATTAGGAAAATTGCATATTTTTATTTTTGGTATTTTTCATAATGTTAGAGATTTTGCTTCTGCTTTGGGAACGATTAGGATTTTGGCAGTTCCTATTTGTATTGCTCCTTTGTCCTACTAGTTGACCATTGAATAATAATATATTTTAGAGTTTTTGTCTACTTTTTTTGTGGATTCAAAGTGTTCCTTTGGGTTCGATACATACAGAGTTACAGTGTTTTTTGTTCCGCTGCGACAACAAAAGCAACTGGGAAATGGTGAGCTAAATAGGGGGCTCCGGATCCCTCCAATCTAGCCAATTCTGAATCAGCCAATTCTAGATTTTTTTGCAGCGAAGACCTGTAATTCTTCNGAAAATGGTGAGCAAAATAGGGGGCTCCGGATCCCTCAAATCTAGCCAATTCTAGATTTTTTTGCAGCGAAGACCTGTAATTCTTCAAACCTAGGACAGGCATGGAGTAAGAGATGACCTTTTTTCTGTAGTTTCTTAGCCGATCCTACNGGAAATGGTGAGCTAAATAGGGGGCTCCGGATCCCTCCAATCTAGCCAATTCTGAATCAGCCAATTCTAGATTTTTTTGCAGCGAAGACCTGTAATTCTTCAAACCTAGGACAGGCATGGAGTAAGAGATGACCTTTTTTCTATAGTTTCTTAGCCGATCCTACATTCCTAACTTTAAATAAAAAATGAAATAAGAGCCGATTTCTCCTATCTTTCCTAACCCCAAGTTACCCCCATCAAAATAATTCAATTCTTATAGCATTCCTTAATTTTCTCATCATTTCTGCAAGAGTCACTTCAATGTTTAATNTATAGTTTCTTAGCCGATCCTACATTCCTAACTTTAAATAAAAAAATGAAATAAGAGCCGATTGCTCCTATCTTTCCTAACCCCAAGTTACCCCCATCAAAATAATTCAATTCTTATAGCATTCCTTAATTTTCTCATCATTTCTGCAAGAGTCACTTCAATGTTTAATTCCAGACAAGGGTTTTGCTTTAACTTCACTGTTTACACTACAGATTTATAAAGATGATCTCACCTCAACTCTTTGTATACAAGAATAAACAAATGGTTTTCAAATTGTGAACAATATCATTCCTTTTTTGGATAGGGTAATTTTATAATCATCAAAAAAATAATTTATTTCTATCAAATTTATACCTGAACAATCAAGTCTCACTTTTCTTAATTAATTCTAAAGAAGTCCTAATTTTTACTATATTCTATTTTTATTCTTTTAATATTAATTACAAACCTACCATTGTTCTCTTCTAATTAAAAACTCACAAAATAAAACAATCAAAGTTTTGTTCCTACCCCACTGACGGGTGGGAAGAACATCAACAAGGCTCTTGCAACTCTCCAATTCTTGATTTTTTCAAGTAGATTAATTGCATAACTAGTATATTTATTTAGGTGATCAAACATTATGCTAATTTCAGTATTTAAGTATTATGTTAATTGGTTATGAGCAAATAACTAGGGTGAGAAGAAGTAGTATTGTCTCTAAAGTCATGATAAAATACTAACATTTTTCAAACTCTTGGTGACTCATGGAAAAAATCTCACTACTTAATTATTTTTATTTCGATTCACAAATTTAGTTATTTTAACGTCACGAGAATGAAGTTAATACTAGAAGGATTAATGGAAATTCTGTAATTAATATTAAAGTAATCTACAGAATAACTAAATTTTATAATTCTATNCTTGAACAATCAAGTCTCACTTTTCTTAATTCATTCTAAAGAAGTCCTAATTTTTACTATATTCTATTTTTAGTCTTTTAATATTAATTACAAACCTACCATTGTTCTCTTCTAATTAAAAACTCACAAAATAAAACAATCAAAGTTTTGTTCCTACCCCACTGACGGGTGGGAAGAACATCAACAAGGCTCTTGCAACTCTCCAATTCTTGATTTTTTCAAGTAGATTAATTGCATAACTAGTATATTTATTTAGGTGATCAAACATTATGCTAATTTCAGTATTTAAGTATTATGTTAATTGGTTATGAGCAAATAACTAGGGTGAGAAGAAGTAGTATTGTCTCTAAAGTCATGATAAAATACTAACATTTTTCAAACTCTTGGTGACTCATGGAAAAAATCTCACTACTTAATTATTTTTATTTCGATTCACAAATTTAGTTATTTTAACGTCACGAGAATGAAGTTAATACTAGAAGGATTAATGGAAATTCTGTAATTAATATTAAAGTAATCTACAGAATAACTAAATTTTATAATTCTATAATTAATAAAATAAAATTAATGGCAATTTTGTAATTGGAAAGCCGTAAAAGCATATCAGTGGGGTTGGAACAAAACCACTAATTGTGTTATTTTGTGGGTTTTCAATTAAAAGAGAATAATAGTAATTCTGTAATTAATATTAAAAGAATAAAAATGGGAAATAGTAAAAATTAGGACTTCTTTGGAACTAATTAGGAAAAGTAAGACTTGATTGTTCAAGTATAAATTTTATAGAACTAAATTATTTTTTGGGATAAAAAAAATTAGGTACTATACATCTATTTATTATATTTGTGGTTATTTTTATTATATTTGTGTGTGTTTTTATCATTTTTATAATACCCAAAAAAATTAATAAAAATAGGTACTACAACAATGATAAAAAATATTCACAAATATGATAAAAATAGCCATAATATGGTAAATTACTCATAAAAGTGATAATTTTTTTGTACCAAAAAAAGTGATAAAAATAATAATTATTATTATTATATATGTGGTAAAACACTTGCAATAATGATAAAAAATATCCACAAATATGATAAATTACATACAAAAATTATAAAAACACCCATTAAAATAATAAAAGTTTGAGGTATAATACCAAAAAAAAAATTTGGCTACCATAGTCAAGTCCCAAACTCGAGTAAATATTGAGTGTAATCATCCAATAAAAAAATAACAAAACTGATAAAATTAAACCTCATTCCCTATCATCAAGATGATTATGTATTACATATCTGAGTGGTTATGAATTTTAGTGGAACCCATTTACTAACTTGTTTATTTATTTGTCTACAGTTACACCACGTAGCACTGTTAACGTAGTGTAACGATTACGCCCAATATTTTTTTCAATCGTAGATGATATAATCGGCGCTAATCCATTCAACGAATAGAGACAAAAGAAGATGATAAAATAATCTTTTGAGCCAAACGTAAAATTCACTCAATCCAATAAAATTACAAAGCCAATTAAATGAAAATTTATATTACCAGATCAAGAAATTAAATCAATAAGTCTTGTTTTTAAAAGTTTCCAAAAATCCATTCATTTCATGCAAGACTCATTTATAATCTAGTCTTATTGGGTCCATGTCAAGTTTACTTATTGGATTCACATATCGTCTCAAATTGTTGCACCTCGTATCTCTAATTGATTCCTTTTTTTTTTAATTCTNAACCATAATATGGTAAATTGTTCATAAAAGTGATAATTTTTTTGTACCAAAAAAAATGATAAAAATAATAATTATTATTATTATATATGTGGTAAAACACTTGCAATAATGATAAAAAAAATCCACAAATATGATAAAATACATACAAAAATTATAAAAATACCCATTAAAATAATAAAAGTTTGAGGTATAATACCAAAAAAAAAATTTTGGCTACCATAGTCAAGTCCCAAACTCGAGTAAATATTGAGTGTAATCATCCAATAAAAAAATAACAAAACTGATAAAATAAACCTCATTTCCTATCATCAAGATGATTATGTATTACATATTTGAGTGGTTATGAATTTTAGTGGAACCCATTTACTAATTTGTTTATTTATTTGTGTGCAGTTACACCACGTAGCACTGTTAACGTAGTGTAACGATTACGCCCAATATTTTTTTCAGTCGTAGATGATATAATCGGCGCTAATCCATTCAACGAATAGAGACAGAAGAAGATGATAAAATAATCTTTTGAGCCAAACGTAAAATTCACTCAATCCAATAAAATTACAAAGCCAATTAAATGAAAATTTATATTACCAGATCAAGAAATTAAATCAATAAGTCTTGTTTTTAAAAGTTTCCAAAAATCCATTCATTTCATGCAAGACTCATTTATAATCTAGTCTTATTGGGTCCATGTCAAGTTTACTTATTGGATTCACATATCGTCTCAAATTGTTGCACCTCGTATCTCTAATTGATTCCTTTTTTTTTTTAATTCTAGAAATGCACATTTTCATTAAAAAAAGTTACAAAATTGAAAGTTAGACCAGCTACGAAAAGGACCACACAACATGTGTATTTATTCCTCTTACCCATTGCTTAAGCCTGTTAGACATGTGTAGCCCCCAGCAATGCACTAAAGAATATCCTTGGAACTAGGCATAAACCCAAACCAATGATTCCAATATTCCTATAAAAAAAACTTATTGGTCTTGAAACGGATCCCACGTTAACCCCAACACGTTAGTCTCTAATTAAAAAAATTAATGCTTTAAGTTTGAGTGAGAATAGCCTCCTCGCTTATTGATTTGAACCACTAACCTATCCTGAAATTGACCCATGGCACAGCGCCCATTCGCTTCGCGTGTGGGAAGACAACAAAGTTCAATTCATGAGGCTGCAGCGGAGTAGAGCTGCCGAAACGCGAAGTGATATCTTTATAAAATTAGAATCCAAAGAATACACGAAAAGAAAGGTTATTAATTCTCATCACCCAATTTGTATAAACCAGAAATATACTTGGATGCAACGAACTTTCATGAGAATTCACCGCAAATGATCTAACATTGATACAATTAAAAGATCTCCCATCGGAGTTGGTCTCAACTTCTTAAATCATTTGATCCAATACAAACATTGTATCATTATTATGATTGAAGTTATATCCTTTTTCAACTGGATACACTATATAAACACTGAATTTCACTTAAATGAGGAAAAATGAAACATAAAATTTCAAGGATAATTTCAATGGTAACAAGGATAAACTATAAACTCATACGTCTTAAGTTCGAATCTTAGTAATATCTTAGTATTGAGTTATAAGGGATTTATCTCTCATAAATACTTTAGTTTTGACATGAATGGTCTGTTTTTGACTAGACGGCTAAAAAAATTAGTCAAGATATATATAAATTGATCCAGATACTCGACAAAAAAAAAAAGTCATAAGGGAAAAAAAATGTGTGCACTAAATTTCATCCACGGAAATTGTAAGGGTCGGATGTTCCGTTTGAGTTTTTGGCCCCACAAATTCAATGTCCAGCACCAGCAGTAACTCAGTACAAATTCAATTATATGCATTAATGTAATTGTCCACATTCCTATGTGGATTCCTGTCTTTATGTAACTGTTATATATTGGCTGGCAATCCAATATATATATATATATATATATATATATATTTATATTTATTTGATAGAATTTGATCAGGTCGGCATGTCAAATTTGGCACATCATCCACTGAAACATAACTAGACGAGAAGCGAGAGACCTACATGCTGACCGAAAGGATTTATTATTGATGAGTGAAAGACTTAATTGTATATAAAGAATCTCACTTGAATGGATAGTAGACGATGTGTTAAAAAGAAAATTAAAATAAAATATATTAACGGATATTTCACTCTATGCTGACAAGGGCAGAAGCGGCCCTGTTCAGGGTGGGCAAGTGCCCCGCTCAATTTTTATTTTTCTTATTACTTAGTAATGTATATTGCATATTTATAAAGTATGTTATTTGTGCCTACCCAAAATCAAAGACAAAAATATTAATGTATACTTATATCAAATGAATAATTTTAATTATGTCCTCCCTATATTTTTTGGTACATCAATTAGTATATATTTATATCAAATGAATATGAATGTTTTAACACATTTTGCGCTAGTTATGTACCTATTTAGATAAATTTTGAATATACTAGAATTATTTTATATTTTCTAAAACTAAAAAAGACATAATATACATATTCGCTAGTTTACTTGTGATTTTGACATTTTTTTTTGTTAATTATGGTAAAAATTATAGAATGCATGTTAAACTGCATAATCAATCAAATGATTTATAAATACCAAAGTGATAACATTATTATGTATCTAAAGAATAATAATGTTGTTATACAACGTTTTAAAAGTATAAAAATTCATTGAAGTCAATTCTAAATGATTTTAATTAATTAATATTTTGTAAAAAAAATATTATTGTTTGTATATACTAGACTTATCAAATTTCGGTATGGTGGGTTTAATGAACTTTTAAGTATTAAATAGGACGTAATTAAATAAATTATTGTCCTGTTTCTATCAATTGTAAGAAAAAAATAATAGTTTGTTGAAATATTTGTGTCCACCGTGACATAATTTTCTAGCTCCGTCCCTACATGCTGACGTGATTCTTTCTAAGAAAATCTTGTTTATTTAGCAATTTAGATTTTCTCTAATACATTTTTTCTTTAATTTTCTCCTTAACAAAATTATTCACTATTAATAAGTAAGAAAACCACTCATGTATAATATTAATAGGTTTTACTCGATACATGGTAGTGATCCCTTCCAATATATTTTTTCTTTAATTTTCTTCTTTGAAAAACACTTATCATGCATTTAAAATGAGAACTATTATACACATTAATGGTGTGTTTGATATGATGAATGGAAAAAATAAAAATATGAAAAATAAGAGTAATAAACTTTTTATCCTTCAAACGAAAAATTATTTCTTCTCTTTTTTGTATTTGGTAAGAGAGATAGAAAGTATAAAAAATTAACTTTTTTTGTATTTAGTAGGATAGAAAAAATATAAATACATATTTTACTATTTTATCTATACATAATATTAATGTGTAAATATAATATATAAATAGGATATATGCAAGTACTAAATGATACAAAATTACAAAGGTAAATAACACATGTTTTGACATACATAGTTAATTTTTTTCACTTTTTTTATTTTATTTTAGAGTGATATATTTTGGTGAATTTTTTCTTTATTTACCAAGTATGATTTTTTTTTTGAATTTTTCTAATTTTTTTATCATTCCAACCAAAATATGATGATGAATGATATACCGATAAAGAAATTGAAGAGAATTTATAATTATAATATAAAGCAATCTAAATTTCAATAAGTCCATCTGATGATCTCAAATTGACTTATTTAATGATCACCAATATCCTTTTTAAAATCATTCACATTTCATCATGTCTTCAGACACAAATTACCCCTAGTTTATAATATAAAATAGGGCAAGCTTCANATCCTTTTTAAAATCATTCACATTCCATCATGTCTTCAGACACAAATTACCCCTAGTTTATAATATAAAATAGGGCAAGCTTCAATAAATTTATCCGAGAGTTTCAAATAGACTCATCAAACAGTCTCTAAATTAAATGGTAGATTTACGTTACATTGTACTTTCAGGCATGAGTTATATCTAGTATATTAAAAAATATTTAAATCCGTTTATTTAAGATCATCACATGTCAGCCAGCTAAGTCCGGGGATAGATTGGTCAATTCACAATGGATGTACAGCTTAGATTACTGATTTACACCCAACATCTTCAAGTAGAAAATAGCTAAAAAACCTCCAAACGTCGGCAACCACGTGGAAGGCTATTGGAAACGCAACGAATCGTTTTGAATTTGAAAAGTTGAAAACAAGTTCGGTATCAGAGGACAAAGCACCGTCCATAACCATAAGTTACCTAACATGAGTGGCCCAACAAGAGTGGGGAAGATGCGGATTTCAAACGATGAGGAATGTTTATTCCTTTATTCGGAAAGTCTGAGTCAGCCAAAAAATAACTCATTCATATCAAGAGTAGAATATGAGTAATATTAGATGAATTTAAAAATAAGACTTAAAAATTTTAACCATTAAATAAATAGTGGGTCCCAATAAATGCTATAACCCACAATAAAATCAATAATTTTAATTATTAAATTTATTTTTTAAATTCATGTAACATTGCTAGTAGAATATTGATATAAGATAAATTCCTTAAAGCCTATGATAAATGCTATATAGGAACGGCTCAACAATGTTATTGAAAAAAACTTAGGTTTTAGACCCAATTTTTAAAGAAGGCCCCTATAATTTATAGGTATGCAGTAATAGTCCAAATAAAAATTTTAAATCTATACTCAAACAAAATATTTTAACTTTAATAGATTGGACCTATTAATTATACCGTGAAATTAAAAGGCTCTAAAATTTATTATTTAAAAAAAAAACTTAGAGTGAAACTACAGCTTTTAAAAAATATAGTCTTAACCCCCCAAAAATTAAAGTTTAAATTTATCATCATAATTTTTTAAACATTTTTTTTTCTCTTACCATCAAATTTAAATATGATAACAAAAGGTTGAATATAAAATTTTGATTAATATTTTGTATTTTAAAAAATTATAATATTAAATATAAAATAATCTCATTTATCGTTTTCGCTTTTGCCAGCAAAATATCTCGAGCCCGTAGTTTTAAAACCCGGCTCGGACACCAACCTAGAGAAGGGACCGGGTCAATGGATTTCTAGTTCAACCACTGGGTCACTGGTCGAACCGATGATATAATAAAAAAATAAAAAATAATTATTAATGATGATAAATAGACTAAAAAATTAAAATAATTATAAAAATAACATGTTTAATATATATTAAATCAAACAAAGTTATCAAGCCTGAATCACTTAATTGCATTTAATTAATAAACCAATGCATTCAATTAACAGCTCAGCCTCCACCCTCAAATTTGAATTACTTAATTGTATTCACTCAATTTTTGAGTTAACAAACACTGAACGAATGATTTAGGATTTAGGGCAAAACAGAAGAGGAAAAGAAAAAGACACAAAAATGTAAAAAAAATACATATTTATACTAAAGGAACAAAACCGGCCGATTTTGTAAACCCGGTTCAATTTTCACCAGTTTTATTCTGGGTTCTTTGGTCAAACGGTCCAATTACAAAACCGGCCCGATTAGGGGACCGGGTCAACCCGCCAGGCCGGACCGGGTTTTAAAACACTACTGGAGCCGTCCTCCAAATGTGAGTATAGTATTGAACCAAAATTAATTGGAGTTGTGAATTTGAATTTGGATGATTTCTAATTATTGATTGATAAAATAATAAATTATTAAAAATAAAATAATAAAAAATATATACATATTATATTTTTATTAAATAAAAAATTAAAGTTTGGTACCAAATTTTATTTATTTTTTAATCGGACCCAAGCCCTCGAGATTTCCAATATCTCTATTCTTGTTCCCACGTGCGATGGTTCAGAGGACAGTGTTGCTTAAAAGCTTTCAGAGCCATTGAAGAGCAGCAAAACCTGAACTTGCTTGGATGACCCATAAAACAAATCTGGAGTACCTTCTCTCTCTCTCTGTCAGCATAGTCTGTAAGTGCCCAACACCATGTGCAGATAGTCAAAAGTGACCAAGCATCCAGTCTGTATGATAAAATTCCTCTGAGAAAGCCACCTACCACAAGTCAAAAGAGGGAGGAGGGAAGGTTAATCAGAACCTCATCTGTTGGAAGAATCTGAAGAGTACCCAAATTTTAGATCAGCAATTCATGTGAAAGCTGACTGGTAAGCTCAAATCATCCCTTATCTTCTCTATCCGAGTCCATTTATGGTTGACCCAGTAATGAATTTTTGCTTGATTCAGCCATGGTTTTCAGGAGAGTTTTTGGTCTGATGATGGCTTGTCTGTGAATCTATCTACCTGTATGGTAATAATCCTTTGAAGAAGACATCTACCACAAGTCAAAAGAGAGAGGAGGAAAGCTAATCAGATCCTTATCTGTTTAGAGTGTGAAAAATCTGAAAGTCCCCAAATTTTAGAGCAACAATTCTTCTGAAAGCTCTGGGGTAAGCTCAAATCATCTGTGGTCCTTGCCATCTTAATTCATTTATGCTTGACCTAGTAATTCAATTTGAAGTATTTTGGCTTTTTGTCAGTCCATGGTTTTCAGGAGACTTGCTGTTCTGATGATGGGTTGTCTGGGAATCTATCAGCCCACACAACCTGCTCTCCCAGAGAATACTGAATCAACATCAGGTGTTTTACCTGTGACTTCATCCAGAATCAGACTCAGTGATGGGAGGTACCTGGCTTACAAAGAGAGAGGAGTCCCCAAGAATAAGTCCAATTATAGAGTCATCATTGTTCATGGCTTTGGCAGCAACAAAGAAATGAATTTTCAGGCACCCCAAGTAAAAGATGCAACTCTCTCCACCTTCTTTTCTACTGATGTGAAGCTTTATATATATTGTCAAGTTGATCTTGATTTATGTGAAAATTTGGCATTTCATTCCGAAATTAGAAGTCTGATAAGAGTAATGGAAATCAACCTCATGTAGCTAAGCGGTTCAGAAATGGATGAGAAATCTGACAATATAATTATATGAACCTGAGCAGATATATAATGCATAAATATTTATATGATAAACCTTAAAATTACAAAATCTTCGTATAGTAATGAAGCAATTTGGGACCTTGGGTCTCGAAAATTTTGAAAAGCTTCAACATCTTGCCTCTTGAGCTTGAGGGTAATTCAGAATTAGTTTGAAACCTCTTAATATTACAGAGTTCTTTTCTTATTCTCAATAGGATTACTTAGTTTGAAGAAAGCATTTACTGCTAACAAATGCTGCAGAGCATACATTGTGTAAAGGGCCCTAGACAGCAATACTGAACACTAAATATTGTGACTATATGAGGACGGTTAAGAGTCAATTCAGAATCCCTTGTGGTTTTGCTTGCTTGGAATCCTTGTGATGTGAACCCTTAATTTTCTGACCATATTTGCAGATGTTAGAATCCTTTCTCACCAGGAAATCAAAGAAGCAATGCAGTACCAGAACAATTATATAGTCATATAAAATGCATCTTACAATGTCATTGTCTCCAGGAACTACTGGATGAGTTGGGGATATATCTTCTCCAATTTGATCGAGCTGGATATGGAGAAAGTGATCCAAATCCAAAGCGCTCATTAAAAAGTGAAACATCTGACATTCAAGAACTTGCTGATCAGTTGCAGTTAGGAGCCAAGTTTTACGTGATAGGTGTCTCGGTGGGATCTTACCCAACCTGGAGTTGCCTAAAACGTATACCACACAGGCAAGACATTTTCTTCAGACTCTAGCTTGTTAGCAATTGCAATTCCAATTTGGCCTAAGACATTTGGTTCCTTTTTACCTCAAAACTTATAATTGCAGGCTTGCAGGTGTGGCTTTAGTAGTGCCATTTATCAATTACAAATGGCCTTCTCTTCCTGATCATCTGACCAAGGATGACTACAGGAAGAATCTTGCTAGATGGATGCTCTGGGTTGCACGCTATGCCCCGGGATTACTACACTGGTGGTTGACTCAGAAATTGTTCCCCTCATCTTCTGTCCTTGACCGAAACCCTGCATTTTTCAGCACAAAGGACTTGGAGGTCTTGAAGAACACACCAGGATATCAATTGCTGAGCCGGGTAATCTCTCTTTCATCTGCACATAGAAAAGGAATTATGATAAATCTACATGCCCAAGCTACGTAATAATCCAAACTTGAGTTTATATATCTGTTTAAAAAGAAGTAACTAAAGATACTAAATCTTCTTGATATCTGCAACCACAAGAGTAGTGATACAAATTCTCTCTCTCCTTGCAGAACCAGCTACAGAAGCAAGATGTTTTCGACTCTCTTCGCCGTGACTTCATCGTGGCTTTTGGCAAGTGGGACTTTGACCCACTGGATCTAAGCAACCCATATCCTCAAAATGAAAGCCCTGTTCACATCTGGCAAGGTTATGAAGACAAGGTTGTGCCTGTTCAGTTGCAAAGATATGTTTCGGGAAAGCTACCCTGGATTCGGTATCATGAAATTCCTGAGAGTGGACATTTCGTTGTATACGATGGTGATGTATGTGAAGCCATTTTAAGGTCTCTTTTGCTTGGAGAAGATTCTCCACTGTACAGACCTCAATTGGCCAACTAAATACACATTGTTCTTTTGGTCATCGACGGGATGACCTGTTAAGTAAATTTGATTTCTAGACAATGAGAACTTGTGTTGCATTGTTTCAACTTAATTTTCAGCATCTTTTAACAAACGCCAACTGCCCCAAAAATGGTGTTTTTCAGGCCGCAGATAAACTCGAATATTACAAGTTTGTAGCTGCATGAACCAACAGGATGTACTTTTCTTCCCGGAAAAGCACATGTACGGCTGAAGATCTGGAATCTGCATAGCACACTACCTTTTCATGATCCAAAGAATCTTTTGATAGAGCCATGGACCCTTGTGTTACATATATATGGCAAATATATATATATATATAGTTATTTACTAATAGTGATATATTAGTTAGCAAAACATTATTTGCATGAATTATCGTAAACATAAAGTATAATAGTACTTTCTAAATTAAGATTGGTGGGAAAGTGAAATTTTCATAACCTTGAGTTGGAGGGCAAAGACATAAATCTCACATTGGTTCTTAAAAATTCTTCATGGATTCATCTTCATCTATAAATAAAGGAAGAACTTCATTCTCTACACTAAGGTCTCAAAGAATTCTCTTAAAGAGGAGGTTTACATAATGAGAACTTTAAGTTATAATTTTGTATATGTATATAATATATATATAGAAGAAGAAGAAAAAATAAAAGGAGAGAAGCGACATTCGAACGCTAAAACAATGTTTCAAACGTACTTTGCTCCCAATATTTTTTTAGAATCTCAGTTTCTGACAAAAATTGAGATATTGAGACTTCAGTTCGTTCAAACGTGACTTGCTCCCAATACTTTGACATAAATCTTGGAATCGAGATACTGAAAGTCGAGTATGTTCGAATGTGACAATCTTGTTCGAACATGATAAGTATTCTGTTTGAAATTAGTCTCTAACATTTATATTATTACAACTTTTTCAAGGGGTGTCTTCTACCATGGATTTGAAGGGTTACACTCCTTCATTAAGAGATGTATAGAACACTATAAATAAGGTTTAAGTGCAAGAACAAAATATTAACAATTTAATTCTTCCTCTTCATCTTGATTCAAAGTTTCTATATTTTTTGATTTTCTATTCGGGTTAAATTGTGATTCCAAGATTACTAAAAAGTGTAGTCTTTGATAATTTTAAAATTAGGCATTGTATTCTGGGGATAAATTTTTCAATAGTTCATTTGTATTATAAGTGGAGAAATTATTATCTCGAATATAGGGAGTGTAGCGTCTTGCCTAGCAATATATCTTCTTCAATTTTTGATTCTTTAATTTTCTACTATTTTAAATTATTTTACCACACTAATTTCTACATCACCTTGTTAGCCTTCAAAGGGTCCCTTGCCCAAAAAGTTCCACCCCTTTATCTAAAGAGAAGATATTGGTTGCACTATTTTTCATGTCATGGGCGTTGACAAATTGGGTTTTACTTTTACATGTGGTTAAGTGGCTGAGAGTGTCCTTTGATAGTGTCAATTGATGACTGAAAAGTCTCAATTCCAATTCTTTCAGGCATTTCTTAAGGATTAATTATTCTTATCTCTTTGGTAATATACTTTAGACCAATTCAAACCACAATAATAGCCACTGAGCTAGAGGGTATAGTTGGTGTAAGTCTAGCATTGTATTGAGAAAAAATAAAGAGAAAAGATAATAGAGAGAAATTGAATCCCTTTTAAAGATCTACTATATCATATTTTACCTTCATTTAAATTTGAGTTTATCTTCATTTAAATTTGAAATTTTCTTCTTTTAAATTTAAATTTAAAATTTTCTTCATTTAAATTTAAGTTTTTCTTCCTTTAAATTTGAGTTGTTTCATTACAGAAGTCTATGTTAAATCAAGTTTTTTATATATTTTTTTTTACTCAAATTTGAGTAAAGATTTAAGTTATCATTGGAGATGATCTTATGGAGATGATCTTAGGACGATCATTTCACGTCTATTTTCCCCATCCTTTTCTCATTTCCCCATCCTTTTTTCATTTTCTTAGATCTATAAAACAAGTGTCGACCCAAGTTGTTAAGAAGTTAAGAACCAATCACCAGAATATTGAAATTGAGCATTACCGTTAGTTGTGTATTATTATTGTTGACCTATCTCAGCTCTTAAGGTTATGTTCCCTTTGTTAATGTTCTTTTTAAGTAATTTTTAAGCAACAAAAATAATAATTTGTCAAATGAACACACGTCCATTATGACATAAATGGTATATTAAAAATAATAATCTACTATGATGATGGCAGTGGCGACGACGACGACAACAGCAGCGACGACAACAACACAGTGATGATGGTATTGGTGGAGGCAACACAATTGCGGTGGTGGCGGCATTACAACAGTGGTGGTAGATAGTGGGTAATAAAAAATTAAAAGTGTAAAATATTTTGAGAGTATATGTTTTAATTATGAAAAATTTATAAAATCTTTACTAGCTAACATTTTTAGCACTAAGTGATAATATATGTGACTAATTATTTAAAATTTTAACATATTTTTAAGAACTGTTTAAAATATTAAATTTATGAGTTTTAAGTTACTAAACGGGTTTAATACATTAAACGCTTAAAATATTCAATTTTAAGTATGTTATCAAATACCTCATAAGATACGTGTGTATGTACTTTTTTTTTGTTTAACGATCATAAGTGTTCAAGTCAGCTGATACACATATTAATTAATCTTCTCTCCAGTCTGATCAAAAATATAAGTCATTTACGTTGGGATTATGATATTTATGAGAGATAACTCTCTTATGACCTATCGCCAAAAAATTATTAAAATTTAAATTTAAAACATTTGAGTTTATATTTCATTCATATTACCCCTTAAAGGACCATTATAGGTAGGTTAAATTTGGTACAATTAAGTAAATCCGAGCAAGCAAAAACTAAGGAAGTAAGAGAAGAAAGAAAAAAAAGAAAAGAAAGGGTGTTGGACGTTTCAAACGGCCTGGAGATGTCACATTTGTCGGACATAAACAGATGATTTGGAGTTGTTGATGGAGACACCAATATCTCGGAGACATAAAGGACACCGACTTAATGACTTAATTATCAAAAAAATATTGTATTTATCGAGTTTAAATATTTATAATATAAAATAGAATAAAATTTAATAAATTTATTTGACGATTTAAAATGAACTCATTCAACGATTTTAAATAGATTCATTTAACGAATAACGATCACTAATATCTCTCTTAAAATCATTCATATTAGGGTATGAATTATCTCTAGTTAGTTTATATTTGAGTCATTTGTTTCGATTGGTCAAGTGTAAGCTCGAGCTATATTGAGTCTGCTCATATTCTCTACGTTGTGTCTGCATAAGCTCAAACTCCAGTTGCGTTTTAATCGTTACTCAATTTTGGCACGATGGAAATTAGCAAACATTCCAACTAAACTCAAGCTAAAATCAGACTTAATTTTTAGATAAAAATGTCAAAAAACTAATTCTAAGAAATTGATAATCTATCCTACATTAATTAATTTTTTTTTTAAAATTATCTAAAATTTATAAATTCAATTACAATAGTCAGGTTATGAAAAAATAAGTAATGTTAGNATCCTACATTAATTAATTTTTTTTTTAAAATTATCTAAAATTTATAAATTCAATTACAATAGTCAGGTTATGAAAAAATAAGTAATGTTAGATTAATTAAATAATGAGAGAAGGAAATAAAGACCAAATGATATAGTGATGATATGTGTGGTGTTTTCTGCAATACTCTTTATTTTTTTAAAATATTTTTTTTTATATGTCAATATCATGTTATTTAAATCCTAATAAGTAATTTAAGTAGTAATAAAAACGAGTTATAAATTTAAACATGTTGAGTTCAAATTTTAACAACTATTTAATTTTAACAACTATTTAATTTAGGCACAAACCGGGAGAGGAGTAGTCGAAGTGTTCGTAAATTGGTTCATACAACCACCACCGTTAAAATAAAAAAAAAAATAAAAAATTCATATTATTTGATTTTTATTTTTAATCCCGCTATTCGGTTAGAACATGTTACTGCAAAAAGATTTAGAACATGTTTCGTTTCTTTTATCCGTCGCTTAAAGTTTGTCAGACTCGTCAATGGCCTCCACAGTATGATGACCATGGTCAACAATATTTGATTCATGTCAATACCAAGTTCGACGCTGTTAGGGTTTGGAATTGGGTCAGTACACTCGCTTCCGTTTCTTCTTCTCTCCCTCTCTCTCTACACACACGCACACGCACACGCACACGCGCTATTTGAATTGAGTAATTTCTTGGGAAAATTGGTGATTTTCAGTACTTCAACTTGATTATGTTATAATTCATGAGTTTTTTCAAGTTGTAAGTTCCTCTATATAAGTATGAGATATCGCGGTCTAATATTTATTTTGAATTGGTATTTTTACAAGTTGAATTGTCATGCGTTTTGAATTGTAATAATAAACTACAATTCTCGTGAATGTGTTGTTTTGCAGGTAACTTTTATTTGTCTGTATTCGGAAAGTAGCGACGGAATACGGGTCCTAGTGTCTTGTGATCGCCTATGGGGTTTAAGTGCCGTTGGTTCTTTTCTGTGTTTTTGACATCTAAATAGTTTGTCTTTCTAGGTATGTTGGTTCTTTTGCTATGCATTGTTGATTTAAAATGCTTGCTAAAGCGNTGTGATCGCCTATGGGGTTTAAGTGCCGTTGGTTCTTTTCTGTGTTTTTGACATCTATATAGTTTGTCTTTCTAGGTATGTTGGTTCTTTTGCTATGCGTTGTTGATTGAAAATGCTTGCTAAAGCTGCGAAGGCAGTCTCAATTTTTGAGAATATTTCTGGGTTTTAGCAAAAGTTTAAGACNTAAAATGCTTGCTAAAGCGGCGAAGGCAGTCTCAATTTTTGAGAATATTTCTGGGTTTTAGCAAAAGTTTAAGACTTTTGTGACACAGCATAGAGGGGATGGATTTAGGTTACATTGCCGAAAGGCAACATGGCAAGGAGCAATTGCCTTTTTCAATGTTTATTGCTCTGTAGTGGCTGTGATAGATCATGGCATTAAATGGGTTGCTTATAACATACATAGATGGGTTGTCAATTGGAATCGATAATAATAATCGGTTTTAATTGATAGGTTTCTGTCTTGGTGGTAAGTTGAACATATCGGTCAAGTATTTTTGATTGATTGCAAAACATTAGTGAGGGATTGGAANAACATACATAGATGGGTTGTCAATTGGAATCGATAATAATAATCGGTTTTAATTGATGGGTTTCTGTCTTGGTGGTAAGTTGAACATATCGGTCAAGTATTTTTGATTGATTGCAAAACATTAGTGAGGGATTGGAATGCCTAATGTTGAGTTCTGGGAACAATGCAATCCGCGGGAGTAGCACATTGTCATCAACTGATGTCCCTCCACTGCCTCAGTGTCTGATGTTGGAGCCGATTACATTAGGCAATCAGAAATATACACGCGCTGGAGAGCTGAGGAGGGTTCTGGATACCTCTCTCGGAAGCACTTCAGGGAATTCTGTTGGAGCTGGTCATGTGAAGCCTACACCTCCCGTAGCGAGAGAGGATTTAAAGAACTTTAAAGAGAGTGTGCAAGATGCATCTAGAAAAGCCAGGTATCTCTTTTTATTTGTTTGATTGAGAAATAACAATTAGTCCACATTTCATGGTTTGGTAGAAATATATCGATTAGATTTATCGTAGAGTTCTAGGGACATTAATGGAAGTTTGCTTTGCTATTCTAAAGGAGAAAAGTAGGCTTGCCCTTCCAATGGTTTCAACTTGCACATGTACCCTAGGTTATGATAATTTTATTTTTTGGAATTTTTTGAACAGCAGAGGTACTTCTTTTCTCATTGGGTTGTGAAAATTAGGAATTTTTTTTTACTTGTTTTTCCCCTGCCACTGGAGCACTTAAATGATTGATGGTTACTGGTAGTATTGCTAAAGTTATACTTGCTTTGTAGCAGGGATAGAGTAAAGATCTTTCAGGAATCCATATCTAAGCTGAATAGGTACAGGGAAGCTCTAAGTTCAAATAAGCGGCAACGGATATCCAGTGAAAGGTCAGGCGGATCCAATCAATTGAAGATGGGAAGTCAGCTTCTTCGAAACCCTCATGATCAACCAACTCAAAGATTGGAAGATAAAACTAAGACTGCTGGGCTTGGACTTAAGAAACGCACTCGCACATCAATGGTGGCTGGACGGGTTTGTATGCAGAACATAAATTACAGATTCAATCTTCTGCTAGAACGTTTTAGGATTTACCTGTTATTGTGAGGGATAATCCAGGCAGCATGATATTTATGCAATAGCGTACACATGAAAAAAAAAAAGTACTTCAATTTATAAAAATAATCACTTCCCTGTGAATCTTCAAATAAAAGCTCCTGGTGAATGTTCCTGTGATTTGAACATAAATACTTTGATTTCGTTTTCTGTGACATGTTATAACATAATTTGGTCATCCAGATACATGCACGGACACCCAAAAGGAAAGGTGTATATGCTGACACTCTTTCTCGTTTTTGGACAATAGTCTTTGCGGTAGTTTAGTCGTTTATTCTATTTTATGTTTCTCTACTATATAAGGGCGGCCTCTAGTGTATATCTTAGGCTAATTTTCTGATTGCACAACTAATTGTGTGCTTTGTTTCTTTCTTCTCGCTTATCTGTTTTTGCTCAAAGTTAACTCGGTATCAGATCTGACAGAGCATATTACAATCCCTAAACTACTCCTAAGACTAATATACTAGAATACTCTAACATAAGCAACATTACTTTTTACTTATAACATATGGAAATTTTCAGTCTCTTGGACCAACGGTTATTGGGGAAATTGTTCCACTTTTTTCATGTAGCACTTGTTATCTTGCATTATGCCCATGCTTCTGCTAGTGACCCTTGGAATAAAAGTTTGTCTTTGTCTTTTAATCTCTGGTTCTCTTTATGAATCTTTCCAGGGAGATGGCTGGTCAGCTGTTGTTTCAAGGCAGCAGTTTGTTGTGGAAAAAGATAAAGGCATGCTTAAGGCTGGTGGCGGGGGTGCTATCCACATTGAAGGAAAAACCCGAAAATTGCCTGCTGGGGGTGAAGGATGGGATAGTAAAATTAAAAGGAAGCGGTCTGTTGGAGCTGTGGGTAGTAGAGCCACAAATGATGATCGGGATATGAAGCGAACTATGCATTTTAAGTCGTGTGCTGATACTAAGTTGCGACCTATTGATGCTCACAATTTCAGGTAAATTTTGTGCTTCTCTTCAGACGATTTCAGATTTGTGATGCGTTGCCGGTTTTATATTCCCAGAGGCTCTATTTTGATATTTTGAATATATGCAAGATTGGCTGCATTATTTCTGTGCAGACTTACTTCTTGGTTAATTTTAAGTTGCATTCTATCACTTATATGCTGTATCATTCTCAGCACTAATAGTCCAATACTGCTATATTTTTATGGTTATGTGATTATAAATAATATTTTAGGTAAACTGATTTTGTTTTATTCAGGAACAATTGAAATAGTGGGTAAGGTTGTCTTCNATTATAAATAATATTTTAGCTAAACTGATTTTGTTTTATTCAGGAACAATTGAAATAGTGGGTAAGGTTGTCTTCCTTAAATTAGAAGCTGGGTTCAGATTAGGATGTGTTAAAATGTAAAGGTATGACTTGTTGATAGTGATTGGGAGTTATGTTGAGTTGTAGATAGATGAGGTGGTCAGAGAATGGAGGGTGGACTGTGGTGGCTGGGTTGGTTGCGTGGTGGTGGTGGTGGTTTGAGATTCAACAAAAGCGAGAACTCCTAACACGGGGAGGGGGACTCTGGGGGAGAACTTTATGAGGAGAGAGTGAAGTTCCCCGGGAACTGATTCGTAGGGAATGTTCATAATTTGGAATATTGGTGCAGATGAGCTGGTGAGAGGGTGGAAGAAGGACTGTGGTGGCTGGGTTAGTTGCAATGGTGGTGATTTGAGATTTGTCTAAATCTAGAAGTCCTAACATGTGGAACGGGAGTCTTGGGGAGAGTTCTACAAGGAGAGAGTGTAGTTCACTAGTCAGTGATTCGTAGTGAAGGTTCATAATTTGGTGTTGAGTGTACTTGTGTGAGAAATTTAGTGACTATGGAAAGAATTTCATTAGTGCTGGTAAAAGTTTGAGTCATCTTTTTTAAATAAGAAAGGTCGCAGGACTACAAATGATATTTATTGACATACCAGCTGTTTGTTGTTAAAGCTATCCTGGTCAGCAAATGTATGTGTCTGTCAGTTGAAAAACTATTGCACTTTGATATGGAGAGGAATCTTTGGAGATGAAAATTCTGGATTTCTTTTGTGTTGCCAGGGAGAACAATTTTGGAAGCTAATGCCGGTGGAAGAATGTTGGCATCTTCTTTTGGGGGATGAGGAAGAAGATAGATTTCCTAGTTCATTTTTTCTTTTACCTGTTTCCGACATCTTTAAGACTTGAAGATGGAATTGGTGACTATTAGAGTAATATTTCTCTTGCAAAGGTACTTAGGAACAAAGATTGTTTTGCTGTAAACATAGGATAAAAATGGTCTGCTTTCTGCTAAAGCATATGTCGATGTACGAGTTTAAAGATCAACTGGAACTTTCTTGTAATGACAGTTTGTGATGTAGATCGGAAAGAAAAACTAAGGAACAAGAAACGAAGGCAGGGAGGGAACATTTAATCAGTTAAGAATCAGAGGTCTTCCAAAATCCTTGCATTAATCCCTTTATGAAGGGAGCCCAAAAACCATAAAACTGAAGTTTGTTAATATAACTGTACTACCAAACACATAATATAAATTTGCCATCAAGTTAAAGATAAACAGAATAATATCCCAAAAATAAATGACCCCGATGACAATAAAGTCAATTGCAATAATCAAAATACCAATGCTGTCTCAACTTCAACGTCTATGCTTACCATTAGAGCATCCAACCTTAAAACCAATTGGTAATAGGTGGAGTAGCCTTCAAGTATATAAACCAACCTTAGGTCTACTTAATATTTCAATGTGTGATGGCTCTCTTCACACCTTCTCTCAGTTGCAACCCAGAGTTGCACGTGGTTTAACAAACTAAACCAAAGCATAAAGACAAACATACTATAGCTAGACTGATAAACCGATCGGAGAATTCAATTAGGTGAAAGACTTAACCCACCAACTACCCAAGGAGCAACTTTGATACCATCTTAAAGCATCCAACTCAAAATTAATTAGTAATGAGTAGAGAGTGGCCTTTAGCATATAAGCCAATCTTGGGTGGTTCTAATCATTCGATTTGGGATACTAGCTCTCTCTACACCTACTATAAAGAAAAACAATTTGATTCCCATCAGTTTGGTATGTTGTGTGAGGCTTTTTTTTTTTTTTTCAATAGGTGCTCAGTGAAGGGAGTCCAAGGAGGGTTGACTAAGATTAGTTGATTTTTTTTTTTTTTTTTAAATTCTAAACTTTTTCAAAATCTTAGGCTAGTTTTTGTTGGAACATTCCAAATCAATGGCATTTTAGTCATTTAGGTGGTTCGACTCATTTTACATTTAAGCTCTTCTGGTGTAATGTAAAAGTGATGAGATACTAAAAGTCCTTTGAATCTTATATGTTTAAGTTCAATGAAGGAAACTGATTCTGTTGTAGCGAGTCGACTAGGTCCATCTAGTTGGGTACTAGAACCTCATGTTTTCATGTTTTTAATACAAAAATAGGAAGAGTTAGAGTTTGTGTTCTTCAAAATGTTCAAGGATGCACCTTATTCATTGTGAACTTTTGGCACCATCTCTAGTGATTTTGCTATTCTGTATTTTTGAATGATTTTGTCAATACATTTGGTTTTATCCAATGAAATTCAAATCCAATGCCCGCACTTGTTCCAGTCACTTTAATCATATGGCTAGAAATATATTTTCTACTACATTGTAATATTTTCGAAGTGATGGAGCACGTGAATTAACACAAGAACCATTCAATTAGTTTCTTAATGATTATGGCATTCTTTCTCAAGTATAATTGCCCCCACAATTTGAAACAAATTGTATAACCGACAAAAAGCATGGCCATATCACTAAAATGGGTCTCTTTCTCTTCTTTTTCAAGCTCACATGCCAAAACAATTTTGGCTCGAAGCTTTCTCATCAGCTATTTATCTCACTTACTTCAAACCCCTACACTTTTGGGATATGTCCTAGTTATTCCTATTACGCGTGCTCATAGGTTGACTGCCCAATGCATCCCGAATCAGGTCTCACAAATGTGCACTTTCCTTGTTTTTGGGTGCTGCTGCTTTCATTGTCTATGCCACTATCAATTTGACAAACTCAACCTAAAATCTATCACTAATTATTGCTCCTATTCGAGATGCATTCTAGGTTATAGTGACTTTTACAACGGGTATCGTTGTTTGGACAAACAAAAAATTTATTGAAGATGTTTTTTGCTTTTGCGTTTATTTCTAATCCACCATCATATATACTTCCATTGTCGTTTTTCCATTTTGTTTTGCCTTTATGCATCTCCTTCACAGCTCCTTAATCCGCCACTTCTCCGACAACATCTTGTTCCACTTCCGACTTTGACATACCTCTGCCTCCTATTTCACCTCCTATTCTTTCTTCCACACCATTCTCTCCATCCTCTCATCCACCTCGTCACCCAGAGTCACTAGACCACAAGATGGTCCCTGCAAATCTCAAGTCTCTATTAATGTTCACTTGCTGCTTTTCTCTCTACTAATGTTCGCTTGTCGTTTTTCTCTCTACTAATGTTAGCTTCTATTGGTGTTGGAATCCGCCTCTTATTGCCAAGTATCTAAGGATTCCACTTGGAACTTGGTTCGAGTTCAACCCACTATGAATATTGTTAGTTCTAAATGTGTGTACCACATCAAACGATGCAATGATGGAACCATTAAGCAGGACAAGGCTTATTTTGTTACCAAGGGTTTTCAATCAACAACCTAGGTTGGACTTCACTAAAACCTTTAGCCCAGTTGTTTAGCTAGCTACAATTTGCAGAGTCTACTCCATGGCTCTCTCTAAGCAAAAGGTCACACTTCAATTATATATCAAGAATGCATTTTTTCATGGTGTACATCAAGGTGTACATCAAGAAGAAGTGTATATGAAACAACCAATTCTTCATAAGAATATGTACACTTGTTTGCATGACTCAACAATTTTATTCTCTCTTGTGGGTTTTGTTGCCTTCTACAATCACAGGGGAACAGGGTTTTAAATCAAGCATTTTAGTANCAAGGTTAATTTGTCTAAAAGTGCAATTGTGTGAATTAATGTCCAACAAGACAAATTGATAAGCTTGGCAAAAGAACTAGGATGCACTATTTTGGAATGGTCTTTAAGGTACTTGGGCCACCCACTAGGGGGTAACCCACATAACTTAGCTTTTTAGGTCCAGTGATTCATAAGATTGGCAAGAGATTAGATGGATGGAAGAAAGTATATTTGTCGAGGGGGTGAAATGACATTAGTTTGCTCGTTCCTTGAAAGTATCCTGATATATGGGAAGATCATGTGGTAAGTTGGAATGTAATATCTTGATCTAGAGATAAAGATGGTCTTACTTTAGGGAACGTAAGAGCTAGGAATATTTCATTGCTTGCTAAATGGTTTTGGCGATTTCCCATTGAGCCTTATAGTTTGTGGCATTTAGTGATTAAAAGTAAATATTAAATTCAACAAAATTGAGTGCTATACAACATGAGTGAGCAAAGATGTTCTCGTTGTCATTGGAAGTTTATTTCTCAAAGAATTCCTCTCTTTTCTAAAAATGTCAAATTTGTGGTGAACAATGGAGAAAAAATTTGATTTTGATAGGGCCTGGGTGAGTCTTCTTTTGCTTGTATGTTTCCTCGGTTGTATTGATCGACAAGAACCCAAATATTTCCATTGCAAGTATGGTAGCATTCTATTTTTACAGAATTTTAATTTATTTAGGAGTTTGCATGATAGAGAAATTGTTGAGTTATCCTCTCTCTTATCCATTTTTTATAACATTTCTCTGGATCAATTCTACCATTAGAGCTAAAATCTTGTGGAATACTGTAGTAATGACATTGTTTTGGGTGATATGGTTGGAGAGGAATGAAAGAATCTTTGATGAAAGAATGGCTGCCTTGGATGAAATGTGGTAAAAGATCTCTTTTTTGGCATCCCTAAGGACATCTACTTCAAAAGAATTTGAAAGGACTTCATTATTCTTGATAAAAAATCATTGGACACAAGTGTGCGAAGGGACTTGAGATGGTGTTACCCTCTATCTGTATTACTATTTTTACTATATTTATTTTTCTTTGTTTTTGTTTTTTTCTTATCAAAAAATAGAATCACATCCTGGATTTCCTGTTTTCCTGTTTTCCTTACTTTCTCTCCAACCCTCTTAATTTACTCTAATCATAATTTTAATCAACTTCATTGTTTTACCTGCTAGCTTTTATATATTACAAGTCACTGACCTAAATTTGATATTCAGGACTAGATTCTGCACCTGCCCACATCCAGAGTAACATAGAATCCCTCACATTTTTCCCTCAAATGCAAACAACCAAAATATGGTGCCCCTAACTTATTTTTCAGAAACACCAAGGGCAAGGACAACTCATAGGTTAAGGGGAACACCTAGCATTTACACATTTTCAGATCTCATGTCCACAAGAGATCTGATAAATTTTACGTTGCCTTTCACTATCTAATGAAACGCTCCTCCTTAATCTAGACTTGCAACTAACAGTGCAAAAAAAAAAAATTGACACTAAACACGACACACGTGGACATAAAATTTAGGAAGCAAGTGATAATACAATTACTAATGAATTATATAATTGACAATTAGTGATTGCAAATATCAGTAATATTTTGGCACAAGTATTAAGAGTGAGCAAATCTCCGGTCTTTGCATCAGTATAGATTGATGACATAAAGGAAACTTACAAACAACTACAATGAAGCCAATGTTGAATATAAATGATAAAGGCTGCATTTAGAAGAATCCATGAATTCAAAAGAAGTTACAGATAAATGATGGATTGACAACCATAAATGTTTTTATATGTAGTCTCCTCGGTATCAAAAATATTAATCTCACAAGTCAATCAGATGCTGTGAAAAACAAAACTTCTGAGTCTTACCATTACCACCCCTGCAAATAACAGCTCTCGAATCCCCAACATTAGCAACCAGCAAACGATCGCCAACAAGGATAGCAGTGGAAGCAGTTGAGCCAGCATCTCTGTTCTGACTATTATCTGATTTCAGAAATTCTGAATCGGTATGGCTGTATGCATCAGCTGCAGTGGGAGCAATACATAAAAACCAGGAAGTTACATGAGCAAGAACTTGTCCAACATCATAGAAACAACAACATCAGTAAAAATGAGACAAACCTATTGCCAATTTGGTATCAGAAATAAACTTTGGATGCCTGATCAAATTACTGAAAAGGTTTTGTTTAACATACTCTGCAGCTCGAGCACCCCCATGACCTATAACAGCAATAATGCACATATACACAGAAAGATGAGAGAGACATGAAGAATCCAGTAGTAAGGTAAAAGTTCTCTCATTTCAGATTCCTTGTCAATTATGGTTCCCAAAAAAAAAAAAAAAGTCATTGTCAATCACGATAAGTCAAAAACAACTATAGGCATATAAGGATGTGAAGAAAGCTAGTTATTTTATGTATACAAAACTCAAATGGCACATAAAATGATCAAATTTGAGGAATGAATTAAGAAATATAGATTAATAAGGTAGTCAGTCCTACGGAAGAAAGTATGAAACGGCAAACAGAATCTAAAAGAAGCACTAACTATACTACTAGTGGCTCCTGCATACAACTACTGGTGTGTTTGATATAGAAGCATATGATACGGAGATATTGAAGGAGAGAAATATGTGAGAGAAAAGAGATATGAGACTTACGGGTTGTTGACAGGCAGTTAAATGTAGTTGAGTAAATTAAAAAATATTATTTGTGGTTAAAGTGAAAAAAAGACAGGGTGTTTTGGGTATTTTATGAGTGGACACCAAATTAATAGTATAGATTTTACAAGATATTGTGACACTCATCCACAGGAGTGAATTACAAAGAGTTTTTATGACCATTTTACAGGTGCAAGTACTNGACACTCATCCACAGGAGTGAATTACAAAGAGTTTTTATGACCATTTTACAGGTGCAAGTACTAATTTTTGCCAAAAAAAAAAGAAAAAAATCTTACCTGGTGCTGATAACATAATATGACACCTAGTTTAGTCCCCATTATGGAGAGTCTGCGAGGAGAAGATCGAGTACACATCTACCATTTGACATTAATTGTATAAAGTGATGGCTCTAAGTTTTGATCCGNCTGCGAGGAGAAGATCGAGTACACATCTACCATTTGACATTAATTGTATAAAGTGATGGCTCTAAGTTTTGATCCGACAACCTTAAGAGTGATTTGGCCAAAACACAAAAGAGCATGTAGAGAGAGAGAGAGAGAGAGTAGCTTACCATCAAAGACTCCGAAAAGACCAACTATCTCTCCATCCACACCATCAATTCTTGTCTCATAGAAATCCTCCATCGATGCCCTCTTCCCAGGGGAGCTTGCATATCCATAGCTGAACTTTCTGTTTTGACTGTTCCCAAATGACAAGTTACACTTAGACACATTCTGAATTTTTAACATCGACAAAGTTATTGGATCAATATGCATATAAATTAGTCATAATCATCTCCGAACATGTAATCTACTCAATGTTGCCCATGCATGTAAAATCTCATTTTGTGTGTGTGAGNCATGGTGCATAAAAGATATCTTACATGTGTAAGCCCACATGATATGCATTTGCATGCATGTGGGTGGTGTACAAGTGCATGCATCGAAATTAGCACAAATATAAACAGATATTCATGAATAAACTTTCCAGAATGTTCTTCTTTTCAGCATTACTCTCAGTTGGACAACATCATGCAGATTGTAATTTGGTTTCAATGTCCTAGTTTGTATTTTTGTTATGACTTTGCTGTTATCCATCATTGGGTTCTACAACTTGTCCACATTTGATCGGTTTATAATACTTTATTTTATTTATTAAAAAAGTTGTCTTTTCTCATATAAAAAAAATAGATCTAACACATGCAAACCATGAGAGCCCTTAATAGAAAACATGGGATACNGCTTGAAGTTGTTATTTATAAACTCTAATGCTGATAGCTGCAACACGCCAAGTGCTACGGCCCATTAAGTACAGGAAACATGGCCCATAATAGAACTCTCTCCTTCAAAAAAATATATCTCCATTTGTGTCTCGTATAATTTATATATTGACAAGTCAATCAACTTATTCTAGGACATGTCATTCTACACTTCTGTCTCTTCTAAAATTTCAAGGTGAAATTTAAGTTTCAGATGTAGCTTTTGGTGGTGTTTGATAAAGCTGAAAGCTGAAGTCTGAAAGCTGAAAGCTAAAAACTGAATGCAGAATTTATGGACTGTTTGGTATTCACTAAAATTTAAGTATTAAATTGAACTAAACTGTTTGGTAACTACACAAAACTAACGTTTGAAAATAAATTAATTTTCAGTTTTACCCTTCCACTCTTTAATTTGAAAATATTTATCAAATATGTCATAACATAAATTATAATCACTATTATTATATTGTCGTCTACATTTAACAAATATTTGATCAAAATAAATATATAACATCTAAATAACACAATAAGTGAACAATTACAAATTGAATAACATAATAAGTGAACAATAACATCTGATAAAAAAAAGAACAATAACTAATAAATAATCAAATAATATTGAAAAAATACAATAAATTAAACTTCATTAACAATATGTGTGTGCGCCGTGTGTGTGTGCAGTCCATGTGTGTAAATATGTGTGTGTGTGCAGTCCATGTGTGTAAATATGTGTGTGTGTGCAGTGCATACGGTTGTGTGTAATTGTGTGTGTGCAGTATGTGGAGTGTGTGCGTTTATGTGTGTTATTATAATTATGTATGTATATTTTTGTTACAAAAAACAAGGAAAAGGAAAAAAAAAAGATCGACAAGGAGAATATATAGGTTACAGGTGTTTGAGAGAAAACTAATTAGAGTTTTAATAAGATTGTAAAATATTTCGGGGTATAATTGTCATATTGTAAATATTATTAAAGAAGGTTTTGTTGTNGAGAGAGGAGAGAGAAACTACCTGGAATAGATTAAATGCCATGAAAACAGAGAAGAAAACTTTAAGTCGAATTAAACGGGCAAGATGACGACGATATGTTAGAGAAGAGAGAGGGAAAAGTATTAAGAGAAAGGGTTCTGTTTTGGTTTTCTTTTGAGTTTTAATCACAAGCAAACAGAGTGGAAATAATTCTTAGGTAATAACTAATTGAGCAATTTTTCATGAATTTAAAATATTGACTAGATCATTATTATTGATATAAGTGTGATATTAGGCCTCGTAAATATGTCAAGTGAAACGATTTTCCGTGAAATAAATTCGTGTCAAAAAATTTATTTATATCTTATTTTTTTTATATAAGCAGGTTTAACTATCACATTTGTACATGACTCATTTATTAAACGAGTTATCCGATATAATTTATGTGTAACTCGCTTAAATAAGAAAATTAGTTAAAGTATTTTGAATTCACCCAAAAAAAATCATCAAGTCGTCACACATTACACATGTTTATTATAACAATAAATCATAACTAANTAGAGCCCGCTATGTCTTCAAGAACACCTCTCTGGATTAAAGCCAACAAATAATATGTAATGATGGTGATGAGATTAAATTGTTTTCTTTCATATATCATTGATAGCCATGGTGCATAAAAGATATCTTACATGTGTAAGCCCACATGATATGCATTTGCATGCATGTGGGTGGTGTACAAGTGCATGCATCGAAATTAGCACAAATATAAACAGATAATCATGAATAAACTTTCCAGAATGTTCTTCTTTTCAGCATTACTCTCAGTTGGACAACATCATGCAGATTGTAATTTGGTTTCAATGTCCTAGTTTGTATTTTTGTTATGACTTTGCTGTTATCCATCATTGGGTTCTACAACTTGTCCACCTTTGATCAGTTTATAATACTTTATTTTATTTATTAAAAAAGTTGTCTTTTCTCATATTAAAAAAATAGATCTAACACATGCAAACCATGAGAGCCCTTAATAGAAAACATGGGATAGNCATAGCTGAACTTTCTGTTTTGACTGTTCCCAAATGACAAGTTACACTTAGACACATTCTGAATTTTTAACATCGACAAAGTTATTGGATCAATATGCATATAAATTAGTCATAATCATCTCCGAACATGTAATCTACTCAATGTTGCCCATGCATGTAAAATCTCATTTTGTGTGTGTGAGAGAGAGGGAGATCCCCACATATATTTTTTTAGTATATACTGAAGCAAACCCTAAAAAAGAAAATAAGCAAACAAACAAATAAAACTCCAAATGAGCTTTGAATGGCCAAATGGGAAAAAAGCCCACCCTTAACACTACGAGCATCACTCTTACTTTCTTAACATTGAACAGAGATCAATGGAAGAAAAGAGAAAAACACAAATAGAGCAGCTTGAAGTTGTTATTTATAAACTCTAATGCTGATAGCTGCAACACGCCAAGTGCTATGGCCCATTAAGTACAGGAAACATGGCCCATAATAGAACTCTCTCCTTCAAAAAAATATATCTCCATTTGTGTCTCATATAATTTATATATTGACAAGTCAATCAACTTATTCTAGGACATGTCATTCTACACTTCTGTCTCTTCTAAAATTTCAAGGTGAAATTTAAGTTTCAGATGTAGCTTTTGGTGGTGTTTGATAAAACTGAAAGCTAAAAACTGAATGCAGAATTTATGGACTGTTTGGTATTCACTAAAATTTAAGTATTAAATTGAACTAAACTGTTTGGTAACTACACAAAACTAACGTTTGAAAATAAATTAATTTTCAGTTTTACCCTTCCACTCTTTAATTTGAAAATATTTATCAAATATGTCATAACATAAATTATAATCACTATTATTATATTGTCGTCTACATTTAACAAATATTTGATCAAAATAAATATATAACATCTAAATAACACAATAAGTGAACAATTACAAATTGAATAACATAATAAGTGAACAATAACATCTGATAAAAAAAAGAACAATAACTAATAAATAATCAAATAATATTGAAAAAATACAATAAATTAAACTTCATTAACAATATGTGTGTGCGCCGTGTGTGTGTGCAGTCCATGTGTGTAAATATGTGTGTGTGTGCAGTCCATGTGTGTAAATATGTGTGTGTGTGCAGTGCATACGGTTGTGTGTAATTGTGTGTGTGCAGTATGTGGAGTGTGTGCGTTTATGTGTGTTATTATAATTATGTATGTATATTTTTGTTACAAAAAACAAGGAAAAGGAAAAAAAAAAGATCGACAAGGAGAATATATAGGTTACAGGTGTTTGAGAGAAAACTAATTAGAGTTTTAATAAGATTGTAAAATATTTCGGAGTATAATTGTCATATTGTAAATATTATTAAAGAAGGTTTTGTTGTGCGCTTTCAGCTTTCAGAATTAAGCAAGTGATCTCCCACTTAATATTGTAGCTTATTTTTAAATAGCACTTAACATATTAAGAGAGTTTAAATTTTGGTTATTAAATGAGCTAAATTAATAAATGCTTAATACATTCATTATAAGTGCTGAATTTGAGTTAACAAACACACCCTTTCTATGCTCCTGTATACCACACATTCCCATGGCTAAATCCAATCTGGTGGGGTGGTTTATTCATTCTTATTTTATAAGAGAAAAAAGACTGCAATGTTCAGAGAAGGGTGTAAGCTTAGAGCCCGCTATGTCTTCAAGAACACCTCTCTGGATTAAAGCCAACAAATAATATGTAATGATGGTGATGAGATTAAATTGTTTTCTTTCATATATCATTGATAGCCATGGTGCATAAAAGATATCTTACATGTGTAAGCCCACATGATATGCATTTGCATGCATGTGGGTGGTGTACAAGTGCATGCATCGAAATTAGCACAAATATAAACAGATAATCATGAATAAACTTTCCAGAATGTTCTTCTTTTCAGCATTACTCTCAGTTGGACAACATCATGCAGATTGTAATTTGGTTTCAATGTCCTAGTTTGTATTTTTGTTATGACTTTGCTGTTATCCATCATTGGGTTCTACAACTTGTCCACATTTGATCGGTTTATAATACTTTATTTTATTTATTAAAAAAGTTGTCTTTTCTCATATTAAAAAAATAGATCTAACACATGCAAACCATGAGAGCCCTTAATAGAAAACATGGGATAGCATTATAACGGGTTGGAGCAGTCCAACCTTCTTATTTGGTGGATTTACAAACTCAGATAATGGGAACAGACAATTGTTTTCTAGAAAAATGCTATAGCCCACCAAACACAACAAAAGGAGATCGATAAAAAGTTTTTTCAAATCTTGCATATTGCAAAACTAATACATTTCCCTTTTAGCAATGCTCCTTCTTGAAAGACGCGACCCATGTCATTTTTCCTTGAACATATCCAATCACATAGATTGCGTAGTCAATTTAATTCTCTTGCAGGGGATCAATGCATTCTTGACATGACAATATGAAATTTAATCAAGAATATT